GTAGGTACCAGGCAAGTCTCCCTGAGGAGAAAGTATTGTATTGATGGGCTACATCGGAAAAGACCCTTCTTTTCAGTCAACCTTGCACCTCATTGCAAAAGGCCCAGACAAACTGGAAAAGAGCCCCTGATGATGATCTTAGAAGGTAGGAAAGGCAGGTCATTATATAGGGCTTTAAAGAAAAGCAAGCACACTTTAAAATATGCTCACAACAGAGCAAGAACTAAAGCCAAGTAAAATTTGCAGTGGCCATGCTGGCTGTAGGATTCTGGAAGTTGCAGTCCAAAGAAGATTGTATTAATAATAGGATGTTTCCATGGGCTACCCCAGTTAATAACCTGGAGAAAATTATTCTGTACCTGTTCTAAGTCTTAGAACCATTCTGGATAAGGACACTGTTAGGAGAAGGAATGAACAAAAAAGGGCAAGGCCCTGAAGAAGCTTCATTTGAGGCCTGGGCAGGATTCACAATATTATTTTGGCAAGGCAATGCATATAACAGATCCAAAACTATTGAATACAGATAATTGTGTTAATTGCAGGAACAGAGCACTTGGCCCGTTCCTTGCCACTTGTTTGAGGCCAGAGTCACTGAATCCACTTCAGACAGACATCTCCATGATGAATGGGAAGGAAGCATGATTTCATTGCCTGGCAAGCCAGAGAGGGTAAAAAGGAGAGAGAACGCAAGCGCGTGCAAAAGAAAGAGGTGCTATGCCCCCTGCCAGTTTCATGGACTGTTGATCAAATGTATGAGATGATCTGGTGCCAGCACAGTCAAGGGCTGTGGAGACAGAAAGAAGGAGAATGGGAGAGCTTGGATACAACATCAAGCAGCAATGAGCTGACATGAAGAGGCTCAACCGCCAAAGAAATGAAATTGGATTAAGCAAAAATAGGTTACAGGAGATTTATTCTAAAGAGTCCAAGTTTCTTCAGAACCTTCACAGAAAGGCCTTCTTGTGAGATCAAGCAGGGGTGAAGAGTGGGTATCATTCTTTTAAGCTGCCATATAGAAGCATTTCCACATCAGCCTTTGCATCATGTAATCCCACTTACTGAGCAAACTCTGGGCTTTCCCCATTCAGTTTAGCTAGAGGTCCATTCTATCACATGTAACATACCAAACTATACAAAGCAGTGAGGCTATTACAAACATACATAGAGAGAGACTGCACAAACAGCCTAAACTGCCAGACACTCTGGTTTCATTGCCATCATGAGATTAAATACAGAGGCAGAACCAGTTTCAGCCTATGGTTAATCCAATGTCCTTTTTAGCCCAAAGTTCCTTAGGCACTGAGATTCAATCTGTCTTTAAGAGGGAGACAAGCAATCTACCAGTCTTTCAAAGTGAGATAATTTCTTAAAACATATGTAAACAAAAGAAGCAAACACAAATCAGGAAAAGGTAAAAAACAAGCATTCAGTCCACATCATTAGGAGACTTGCTAGATGGTACTGCCAGTTAGGGCATGAGATACTTTCACCATGCCAGGACCAAAGAAATTAGCCAGAGACTCTTTGGAAATGATAATGAGTCCACTCACTCATTGTCAGCCTTCCCAGCTAGTCTGGAAGTTGAACAATAGGAGACAGATCCATCCTTCCTGGCCCCATTGGAAAGTCTGCAACTATTGAGGTTTTCCCTCAACCTCTTCTAAGCTTAGTGAATTAACTGTAGGAAATGCCTGGGCAAAACCATTAATTATTACATGCAAGATTTCCAGGCTGGACACCCCCAAGCAAGAGGGCACTAGAAGGAGCAACAGTAACCTCATGGCTATCTGGGAGACAGCTTCCACAAAGCCGGCAGACCTAAATATTTGCATTTAGAAGGCAGGTAGACATGGCATCAAGCTGGGATTCCTGAATGCTACCCCATGAAATGCCAAGGAGCATTCTGAAACTAAGACAAGACCTTACAATTTATGACAGCAATGGGGGGGGGGGGGACAAGCTATGGTAGAGATTTTACAAAAAACCCTGGGAAGGAATAAAAGAAAACCCAGGGAGTAGCTGTCTATCAGCCTTTCTTTCTTTCCTTTACATGCAATAGGATATACAGCTCTACATAGTTTCCTGTTTTGAGCAATACCATGATTATAGCAATGCATATTGCTGGGAACTAACTCCCAGGAGCGTTAAAGGGGAATTCCCAAGCTAGAGACTGACTTTCCTTACTCTTACATGCAACATGGGTGCAGAGTGAAGGGAAAAGAGAACTGGAGATTTGCATTTCAAGGCCAGGAAGGGAGGTGCTTATTGACATTGCCATGCATCAGTATTGTAATTTGGAAATTGCTGTCCTTATTCCGGCTACCTACATGGTTCTCTTAATGACCTTCCTGATCCCAATGTCAGATGTCTCCTCAGCCTCTTGCCAGACTTCTGATTATCACTATGGTTCCTGCCTTCTTTGTTCTCTCTGTTCCTTTGTCTGCTCAGGCATCTACATTGCTGTTGTAACTTAAGCTGCCTCTTCCTCCTCCACCACTACCATCCTACAAATATCCACTGAGCCCGTATCATATATGCAAAGTAGTGATCTAAGTGGGAAGGATCTACCTTGAATACCAAGAAAAGAAGATGACAACAGTTCCAGAAGGGCAACCATAAAAATCTCAAAAAGTTGCAACAAAATCCTGCAGCAACATATCAACTGAATAAGGCACACATGCTCACAAGACAATACTGTGTGTGTGTGTGTGTGTGTGGGAGAAAGAGAGAGAGAGAGAGAGAGAGAGAGAGAGAGAGAGAATGGAAATGGGTGCCATGGTCTGAGCAAGTGGAGGAGACATTTTACCCAGAAGTGGCAGGATTAAGTACAGTGGTACCTCTACTTACGAATGCTTCATCTTACGAAATT